AGTAATCTCTATCAGTCTCATGGGCTTTCACAGAAGAAAACAAGATATTAAACACAAACACATTATTGTTCTTCATTTAAGTCTAAATTCTGTGAATGTCAATTTGGACTTTTTAGCTGGCTTTTTCTCTGGAGCAAGCTAGTAAATGTTTTACAAAGCCATATTTGTAGTCATTTGGGTTTTGTTTTTTTAACTGAGAATCTGTGAAGGGCATCTGTTACCCTGTGGCCACAGGATCATCTCAGCCCCATTTGGTGAACCATTCTGCTGGCTTAAGGACATCTTTAAAGCTGACCTAAAGAAGCACTTAGGACAACAACTGTAATTGGATTTGTAATCCGGAAGATCTCTCTCTGTCTTGCTTGCCACTGCTCTGTCAGACAGAGGCTAAAGGAGGGGAGAAGAGAAAAAAATCCCATTCACCTTCTCCCTTGTGAACTGCTGTGGTGAAAAAGGATGTCCTGCTCAAGCTGCTGCCTGGCAGAAGGGTGCACAGAGCTCCCAGTGTTGAGTCTAGCAGGGACCTGGTTCATGGCTTGCTGGCTCGTGGTGGCCGGTTGTCTCTTCTTACTGGGGCAAAATCAGTTGCCCTAGGCACTGCTCAAACACCAAGCAAGAGGACCAAGTTTGCTCTGAAGAGCAAAGTGTGATACGCAATAAGTTTGCAAAGCTTTTAGCTTGCAAGTTTTTGGAACAATGCCGTTTCTCTTTTGGAACTCGCTGCCGCCTTAGTTAGGGTTATTTGACACAACTGGAAAACGCCTCCGAGGCTGGAGACCTCAGCTCACTAAATCAGCCTGATGTTTGTTGATGAAGAGTGTGTCAGCTCAGGCACACGACAAAAGCTCACGAAATGCTCGGCACTGAGGCTCGGAGAACTGAACAGCGGTAAGGCTGGACAGCAGTAGGCTTCGGAGCCTCTTGCCTGATTTGGCACTCACCGTCCTTGCACTGGTGTAGTAAGTTTGGCTTTCTCTGACCAACTGACCTTAGTTCTTAAATTATGAACAGTTACAACTGCAGTGTCAGTACTGTGGGTTGCTTGAGTCAAGTGGATTGGAATGCCTTCTCTGTGCTTGTTCAAACAGCTGAACTCAAGTAAGACAGGCATTCACGTTTATCCGTGTTCAGGCGCCATGGGAATGCTTAGTGGTAAGCACAGCACATACTGATCAGGATAACCCTATTGAAATCAGGGCCAGGGTGTAAGCTGTGTCTGCAAGCAGGTATTTGTGCATTTGGGATTGTGGCAGTAGCAATTTTGCAGTAATCCCCCATGAAGGAAACCCCTCTGAGGTGTCTGGGACCTTCCACTTCACTTCTCACTACTAGGGTGGTGTAGAGTTAGTCCCTGTTGCCAAAGTTGTGTAACAGATTTAGTTACCTTTAGGACTGGATTGTGGGGTGGATCAGTGATAAACCTCATATTAAAGAATGAGTTACAAAGGAGAAGTGTGAGGCAGAAAAAAGCATTTGAGATGAGGGTAATGCTGCTCATTCAGCAGTGCTGTAGGATAGCTGGCAGCTGAATGAATGTGTGCTGGCAGCTCCTCCAAGGGAATCTTTCTTCCTACTGCTGTTAACGATGGGATTTTCCTGGATTGGAGGAAAGAGCAAACAAAGACCTGGTGCTCTCTCTTTTCTGTGCTTTCTCAGTTTGAAATCTCACTTTCCTATGAGAGAGGTGAGGGACACTTTTCCATTACAGCAGCTACCTCCTCATTCCCTGTCATCAGTGCTGAGGTATCTCATGCTCATGCAGAGTTTTAGGCTGCCATCAGTGCTTTTGATTTATATATTCATCATATCCCAGAACTAGGTTATTCTTCCCAAATGTACTTTACATGTGTGACCATGAAGATATCCCGAAACCTCATCTCATTGCCCTCGGCTAAAGCAGTAACACTAAATTCAATGATGACTGCTTCATGAATGAACCTTTATTCATTTTGGAGTTTTATTTCAAAGCGTATGTGTTATAGAGGGCTCTAAAGCATAAAATTATCCATGCAAATATAATCCCAGTGTAATGCCATTGATATAATTCAGATTTCTTCTTTGTGTAAAGACTGCTCTGTCCACCTCCCACCACTTCCCGAATGTCTGTGGCTTGATGGAGCCAAGGCATGAGAAAGATGTCTTTAATGATAAGGAGTCAGTGGCTTGATGGGATGAAGGTTATTGCAGTCACAGGGATTTGGCACAGGCAAGGTAACAGGGGTTAACATATCAGAAAGGAGCGAACTACCTTGCCAAGGGTAAGCTGATAAACGTTAGCATGTAGAAGGAAAGAAGACCGAATCCTGGAACTATCACTTCGGCTAAGGAAACACATGCTATAATCACAGCAGGCATTTATAGTCATTACTTTTCAGAAGAAATTCCTTCACTAGATTACTGGCAAATGTTAATTTTATGGTAATGACAAATTGCAGATGTATTCTTCAGAATCCTAGAAAACAGTTAGCTGGAATGGGAAAAGTGCCCTGGTTAATCTCTTCAGCATGTTACTCTTTCTGTTTAGAAATTCAGAGTCCCACAGGATTAGTTCTAGGACCTGTGCTGTTCACAGCAACCCAAAAAAAAGCAATCCAGACACAACAATGGCCTCAGCATTGGTTATTTCTCAGGTGAAGGAGCTAAGGAAGGGCATGGCCAACCCCACAGACATGTCTGCAGAGTGAGTGCTCACGGACAGCCAGGCAGCCAGAGGGCAGAAAGGGGAAAACAAAAGACATTCTGCTACTCTCTAACTGCTGGGATGTGCAGGTTTTTTCTTTTCTTTAAAAGGACAGAGAAGAATTTGAAAAGAAATGGAGAAAGAGAATCAAAGGCATAAAATGAGTTTGGCATGAGGAGAGCGTAAATAGAATAGCATTCTTCAGTTCAAAAAGAGATATCAGACAGTAGGGTTGATAAAGGTCTATAAAATTACTGAGAAGGCAGAAAAGGTGACCAGAGAGTGATTATTCACTGTTTCTCACAGTAGAGGAACTGAGGGGAGTCAGAGGAAATTATCAGGTAGCAAATTTAAAATGAGCAAGAGATACTTTGTTCACATGACAAACAGGTTGTGGAACTGAATGCCGCTGAGTATTGTGGAGTTATAAATGCGATCAAGAATTCACGGAAGATAGGTCTCTCAAAGGTTATTTTAAAAACAAGGTGTGGGTGCAACTTCTTGCTGTGGAATTTTCTAATCTATAATGCTGACAGGTGCCCCATTTTGTACCATGGCCCTAAACTTCTGGTACCTGCCAAAGACAGGGCCAGATGAACCTGTGATGGTCTAACTAGATCTGGCCCACCATGTCTTTTCCATGTTCGTACTACACTTAGGTTGTAGTGTTCCAAAATATGTCGTTGCTTTTGTTGGTTTTGGCTGTGTCTAGACATATTTCTTTGGAAGTCTGTCCTGCTGTGGGACTGAGTGCCACAGATCAAGGGACAAGGTTTCGATCTCAGTACGCATGAAAAATATTCAAGTGAGATCCAGTACTCTGGCGTGAGTCCTGTATTCCCTCTTCTTTCTGTCCCCACAGTAAATTGCTGATGACTTTCACAAGGTAGAATAGAGCAGGTATAGAGATATATTCCTTAGAGGAAAACAGAGTTGGAGGACATTAAGTAAATGCATCTGAACTAGAGCTATTCAAAATGTTTTCATTCTTTCATTCCTTCATTCTGAGAGGGACAAGCCAGCAGCTAGCCGTGGGTGCGTGCTATTATGTGCAGTCCCAGACAGTCGTGCTCTGGGCTTGACATGCTGCCTGCTCTGCCCATGTGCCAAACAGCATGGACACATAGTCGTCTGCAGAGACCCTCCATGCAGGACTCCGGCTTCTGCTTCAGAAAGGCCCGATGTCCTGAAATCCTGGACAAACAAGCTGTGCTGGGTGATGCTGAAGAGGAAAAGGGATCCAAAATGTTCTTAATCTCACCTGTCTGCCATTAAGTCCATGACTGTAAAAAGTGCTGTGCCACCAGGATACAAGAGAAACTGCCTTGGCAAGTGCAGTGATTTCTGAGGCTTATTAGTCTGTTTAGCGCTTAGGAGTAGCTGGAAGCTGTGCTCTAGTTATTATTATAATTGAATCATTTAAAGTTTCCTTCCTTTCAGCCAGAGGGTTTGTAGCTGGGGTTCTGATTTCAGACCATCATGTCAATTGGATTACCATTTTAGTTACACCTTTTCTACTCTCACGTTGCCTGTTGTTCCGGTTTTTAGCCCTGTATTCAAGACAAGAGGGATAGGAATCAGGCAGACGCATGCTGCAGCCTTTTCATTTGACTGTGTAATTGCCTTCTCTAAGAATTCAAGCAAGACTGTCTCTGTGGTACTTCTCAGTTTCACACTGCCTGTGGTTGAAATGCCCGGGCAGGCAGAGCTTGCAGAAACCACTGTCTACTTGCACCAAGATAGTCAATAAGGACCCAGAAAGCCAGGGGCTTTTCTTCTGTGTGTCTGTGATGCCATGGCAAAAGTGGCCATTTTTCTATCAATCAGGATTATTTTAATGTCTTTAAGAAACTTGCTTCTAAACCTTCATAGCTGTAATTCTTTTGCAGATTTTGATAATCTTCCTCTTTAAAGTTTGCTACTCTCTACACTATATCAGTGATTTCAACCGCCCCCAAACTGGCAGGCATGGAGTGGCCAGCTGGAACAGAGCAGGGTAATGACTGCCTTTTCTACACCCACAAATCACAATTAAAGCTAGAAAAAGAAATTGATAAAGGAGTTACGCTGCATTCGCTGTGTCAGCTGTGGAGCACAGCAGAACTGCAGTTGTTCGTGGCGGAGGGTGTTCATGCCCTGGAGCTGCACTTCCAGGAGTGTTGTTCCACAAGGTTTTCCCTTCCATCTGGGAGTACTAACTTCTCTTTCAAACAACTTTAGGCAGCGGGCTGAATGCATACAGGACCTGCATCATCTCTGCTGCCTCTTTGGAGCCCCATCCGTCCAGGTAACCATCTCTTTTTTGGTCTCATTCTTCTAGGGATATCTGTGCCCATTCCGGTCATTGGTTTGCAGGATGACTCCAGGGTGTTCGTAAATGGGACCTGTGTCCTCAATGACGAGAACTTCGTCCTCATTGGATCCTTCATGGCGTTCTTCATCCCTCTCATCATCATGGTGATCACGTATTGCCTGACCGTCCAGGTGCTGCAGAGACAGGCAACGGTGTTCATGTGTGGAGAGGTGCCCAAGCAGAGGAGGAGCAGCGTAAACTGCCTCAAGAAGGAAAACAATACAGAGAACATTTCAATGCTTCACAATCATGAGGGGGCATCTCACTTGAACTCTCCTGTAAATAAGGAGGCAGTTCTTTTTCGGAAAGGAACTATGCAGTCCATCAACAATGAGCGAAGAGCCTCCAAGGTCCTGGGCATTGTCTTCTTTTTGTTCCTCATCATGTGGTGCCCATTTTTCATCACTAATGTCATGTCTGTCCTTTGCAAGGAAGCCTGTGATAGAGACCTCTTGAGTGAACTCCTTGATGTGTTTGTTTGGGTGGGGTATGTTTGCTCTGGGATTAATCCCCTTGTATACACACTCTTCAATAAAACATACCGCAGGGCTTTTTCCAATTACATCCGTTGCCAATACAAGACCAGTAAAAAATCAGCGCTGCGGCAGAATCAGTGTCTGAATGTTGCTTCAACAGCTTTATATGGGAAAGATCTGACTTTAACTAGTTATCGAAATGGCAATGAACTCAATAGCATGGAACTAGATGAAGTTGAGGAGGGCCTTGAAATGCAACCAGGGACTTCAGAGCTCTCCATAAACAGCTGTAATGTTGTAAGTGAAAGAGTGAGCTGTGTGTAAAGGTGGTTCACACAGCCTTTTGCTACGGTGTACCTGTAGCCAAAATATATTGTGTAAAAATGTAAGTGTTGGTCAAAGGACAATGTAAATATTGCATTCTGAACAAAGCTTTTTTTTTTTAAAAAGAAAAGAGTTGTCTTTCCAGTCCAGTACTTAAAATCATATATATTAATATACTGCAGTGAAGTTTAAGGTTCTATATTTACTGTTAATACTAGATCAGAACTATTAGTTACTTTGCATATGTCATGGACAAAATGTTTGAATTCTTCTTCCAGTGCATGAACAAAAATGCTGAATATTTATCTCAGGTGGCATTTGCTGGAGTCCAGAATGGCACGTTAATAGTTATATATCAAATACATGCTATTAGACTTGGTCAGTATAACTTTCTTTTTCAAGTTGACAGTAAATATATACTTTAAATCCTCACCCCTATTTGTGCCGTGTAAAGACTGTACAGAAACCTGGCAGAGAGACATCATGAAAGCGTAGTGGCTCTGCAGGCACCTGGCCAGATATGTCCTGTTATGGATAGTGGCTTGCTGCCATACTGGAGCAATCTTGCACTTCAAAGGACCTCAGTTAAATTCTGACTCCCTCTCCAATCCTGCTGTTTTCTTTCCATCCCCCAGGAGGCTCTGGCTCCCCTAAAGAAGGTGGGGAATGCAGTTCTGGTGTGGTATTGCGATCCTGGCTGGGATCACTTGCACACTTGGAGAAGAAGCATCAGAAACAGAGCGAACCCCAGTTATCTGCTTCAACCATTTTATAAATGAGTGCCTCAGACTGATAAAAAGCCCTCCTTTGGTCTTATAGATAATCATCAGCTCTGGGATGGAGCAAGCTGTGCTCAGTGTGGATGGCACTGCCTTCACAGATTGCTTGGATGATCAGGGTCTTTGATTGACCTGGAGAAGAGCGCTCTGGCTTTGTAAGAGCTCTTGTCTTCTCGGTCCTCACATCTATTTATTCCTTGGCTTGTTTGCTTTTATTTTTCAACATCCTGGGACTTGCAGTGCTGGTGGTAAAACACTGCTTTGGGTGTAAAGCAGAAGCTGCTGTGCGTGTGGTGCTCGTCGGGGTCAGGCTGTGAGGTGCATGTTACACCTCCCTGGGGGATGCTTAGGAGAGAGGCATAAACGAGGGTCCCTGCTCATTTCTCCTGTCTCAGGAGGGGGTGGGCAGAGCTGGACAGAGTATGTGACTGGAATCGTTTGCTGGTGACATGGTTCAAAAGCAAACGATGACCAGGGACAGGAAGGAAGCAGACCTGGAGCTAGTCTACATGGAATATTAATCTGGATTAACTTTTAAATTTGATTTATTTCATTTCACTCCCAAAGTAAATTATAGTATATCATATTAACGCCACTTACATCTTAATGAAAGCATCCACATTGGGATTTAATGCAGTTTAAGTAATCTGCTTTTAATTCACACCATGTATAATTTGAATTAATTTTCCTCTGTGCTCCTGTGTAGACAAACCCTCCAAGGCATTGTGTCTTTCTGGCACTGTGCCTCTGGGGTGATGCCTCTCATGCAATTTTCCTTGTGTATAGTATTGCCTAATGCCAGATATCACCCGTAAGGTATTTACATCTTCATTAACTAATATACAAATGCTGCAGCGCCCATCTAACATGGATGCATTTAGCATCACTGACAGCCTCTGGCTATGAAAATCCTTAGAACAGAAAAGCTTACACTAGGCATGGATAAATTGCATTTTACTAACATGAACTGCTTGTACTCTAAGCTTGCTGTGTTCATCCCACCAAAATTAACTTGTAGAAGAAATGGAAAATTCTGCTAGTGCTTTAGCATAATGTTGTGCTGTTGCATTGCTGTGTACAGCAACAAGCTTGCTGAGGCCACTACCCAACCACAACATATGGGTTGCATCTGCTGCTGGGTTGCTCCCAGCTTGATGTGTTGAAGTTGATGGTCCTCTCTTCTCCCCCATCCCCTCCTGGGAAAAATCCATAGTACTTCCATGCAGGCAGGCGAGGTATCCCAGTGCAGAGCGTAGCTTACTGCTTGCAGAAGGCAGCAGAGATGCACCATGTGCCAGCCTGCTGATACCACCATGGACTTGAATGCTCAGGAATCCACTTGCCTCTCCAAGAAGTCTGGTAACCAGTAGGAAAAGGACTGGCCAGAGACACAAACTTGTGCCTTCAGTGACTGCCCTTTGCTCTGAGTTAGATTTGACTATCTCAAACAGTACAGAAAAATCAGAAAGATCACATTGCTTTTTAAGTTCTTATTTTCCCTTGGGTGAATTCATAGCACATCTTTTCCAAACATGTATATGTGTGTGTATGTATATATGTGTGTGTACATATATATACATATATATATTTAAAAGCCAACCACAGACTTTGAAAGCATTTAGCAATAAGTTGAATTACACTAGCTTCTAGCACATGTGTGAATAGGTCATGTGTGAATAGGTCATTTTTCACAGCATCCTCAAACTCGGTGTAAGTCCACACACAGGCATTGTCTTTGCATAGGAGCCTTCATGTCTTACCCTTGCCGGTTCTGTTGTATGGGCAAAAAGGGAACCTACTATATTTGGATGTAAATAATGGGAATTGAACAGAGAATTTACAGAATTTTTATAAATGTTTTTTAAAAATTCAGCACCAGAACTGTAAATATGTCGAGCATTGCGACTCAGCTGGACCCGTACTGATGTATGTCACTTGTTTAGATAAACAGACAAGGGGACTGCCTTACAGCGCCTGCGTTCTCTCCTGGCCAGCGGGTAATAACATTTTTGTGAATGGTTAAATACTGTCACTTACCCAACTTCCTTTGGGTCATTCACATCAGGGTTTTGTGATGCTGCTATTAATTTATTAAAGAAAGTTTGTTGGTTTAATCACTCTTAATTTTTTTTTCATGGTCCATCAGAAAATAAATAAATGAACGTGCCCTCTCTTTCTTTCATCTGTCCCCGATTAAAATCTTTCCTGAGTGAAAAATATGTCCTGACCAAAAACCAAAACAACAATAAAAAATGAGGATGAGGATGAGGATAACTTTCACTTCTCCTCCCACGCTTGAAGTATGACCCACAGTTGCTTAATCACAGAAATTAGTGTCAGTAGATATCCCAACACTTCCAACCCCAAAACTCATTAAACATGAAGACGGTGATAAACTATTCCCCCTCTTCTCCTTGCTCCCTCCAGGAATAACTGTTACAAATGACATTTTTTGAATTATCTCAATCTGAAGAATGGATTTAGTTCTCTGCAGCTTAACGAAAGTCAGGTTGTCCCCACAGCAGCTTTGCTTCTCCTGAGCTGTAGTCGTTAACCATGGTGGTGCCTCAATAAACCCTGCTCTGGTGCTGCCTGGTGGCAGTACCCACTGGAAGTTTTGTGTGAGTCCTCAGACCTCGGCTCAGATACAGTTTTGTCTTATGAATAGTATGTGTGTTTGTGTTTTGTTTTGAGTTTGGACTGAACAAGTGAAAATAGTTCCTTGGAAATGGTGCTGTAGGCTGAAACATGTTGGTTGCTTTGTTTCCCAAACCAGATGGGAGATGTGCAGGCAGGCTGCCTGCGAGACTGAGTGTGCATGTAGAGGCTCTGACCCAGCAAACAGACCACCCCATTTGACTTGCATCTGGGAGTCTACTTGTGGGGTCAGCCCCTGAACTAGCACCTTCCTGAGCTGTAGGGGCTTTCAGCCTTCCCCACCAGAGGCCAGAAGCAAGGCTGGCCACGTTTGCTCAGGCACAAAGCCTTGTGGCTGAGCAACCTGGCTTCCAGACCTGAGCTGACTCATCTATGTCTGTGACATGTTGCCCCACACAGCCAAGTCTGGGGTGTAGCATCCATGGAGTCAGCTGTGGTGGCTTTGGTGACCTCTGAGGGCCTCAAAGGCTGTCCTTTGAGGACAAGGGTCTGGTCCTTCAGTCCTGTGCTCACTGAAGATAAGAGCAGCTACCCAGAGGCTGTGGCATTTGGGAGGTGATACAGTTCAGAGCCAATGCTGAGGAGCCTCAAGGCATCCTATCTCAGCATGGCTCTCCTTATTTTAATGACTTGTGAGTCAGCAATACTTTTTATCTGAGTGATAATTTAAAGATGCTAATGTCAGGTGATGTGTGAGTAGTCAGTGTGAACAGTGTGGTTAGTGCCTTTTTCTCTATAGAGACACTCATGTCAACCATTAGTGCCTTTCTGCTGGACAGCCCTACAAAGAGGTTCATCACTGGCATGGAGTGCGGCCAGTGTTTTTCCATTCCAAGTCAGCAGGCTGATTACAGTCATCTGATGTGCTGGAGCCATGAGGGCCCTGGATATGGAGGCCCAAATTCCAAAGGAAAAACGTATTTTAAAGAATAAATGCAAACCACAAGCAGCTCTTCAGAAATATTGTTTAGCTTTGAGCTAATGAAGGGTGTCTGATATTCTTGCAGACAAATTATGCTGATCTGGCATTCCAAAAGCAGTGTCCGTCATGTGATAAAGATGCAGATATCTCTTGGATGGATTTCCTCCCTGGGTCACAGTATCATTAGGATAGCTACATGCCAAGCACTTGGCTTTGTCTCCATTTCAGACTGGGGCAGGAAAGGCATCAGAGGTTTTTCCTGGGAAAAAGCCTACAAAGACCACCAAGCCTTGGGCAAGTGCAGCAGAACAGAGATGGACAGATGTACACACACATCTGCACACATGAACACACACATCCCAGAGCCCCCAGAGCGCCACAGGCAATGTCATCATGCTTCAGTCTTCCCTTGAAAAAGTGGGAATAGCTGAACAGCTGGGGAGGAAACCTGTGATGAGGAGATCAAATGCGGCTGTAGGTGTCACCATGAAATGTGGGCTGTTCTAGTGATAATGTAGTGGAGGGGGTGCATGTACCAAAAAATGCTTTTATTTTTTCATTTTTAACTATGAAGTTGTTATTGACTGTTCTGCGTCTCCCTCATTTTTCTTTGAGTCTCAGGTCTTCTGCTTGTTTGCTTTTACCCATACTGAAACTTGTGCTCTGAAGCTGTCAGAAGTCAACAAAATATCTGCGTGATGTGTCATTCCCTCTCTGCTGTGCAGGTATGCAGCAATCCCATAACAACATGGAGATGGAGAGTCTTCAGGTGAGTGATTTTAGATATATGTGAGACAGACAATCAATGCAGCAAGGCACGCTTGCCAATTAAAGAACCACACCAGAAGATCTTTAACAAACAATCAAGTGCATGAGCTACACACTGAAAAATTTTGCTTGAAACTGTCCTAAATCATGGGTTCTGCTGACAGCAGGAGGGCGTGTTGGTACATGGGAAGGGAGTCTGGCAGTGCAGGATGCCTTGAGCTGCATGCTGCTCCAGGCAGCCCTCCTGCATTCTCCCTCTGGGAGGGTGCTTGTTTTATGACCCGGCGCAGCACATCC